CTCTGCGAGCGCCGCTCCCGCCTCCTGGGCGGGAGGTGTGAGCAGCACCTGCTTTCTCCCTTTATGTTTGGTTGCCATTGCTGAGTAGCTAAACTGTTTTTCTCCTTACTACCAATGTAGTAACTGCTCCATGATAGCACAGCAATCAGTTCAAAGGGTATGGGCCCTGATGGTTGTGGTGCAGCCCGTTTTGCCTCTTAAACCTCCAGTAAAGCAGCTTGTGTGAGGAAATGTCAATGCTTGTCCGCAGGAGCCATGCGGCAGGCGCCCCAAGGCGACGAGGACACCTCGGCCCAGCGGCGCGCGTGGGGGCTGCTCGCAGCCGGTGGCCTCGGCGCCAGCCTGCTGGCCCTGCACGCCGTGGTGACACCCTTCGTGATGCCCGCGCTGAGGAGGGTCTGCCTGCCCTTCGTCCCCGCCACCTCGGCCCAGATCGAAAACGTCCTCGAGATGCTGCGGGGCAGGAGAGGCCCTCTGGTTGACATTGGTAGCGGCGATGGCCGTATTGTAAGTTATGGGGATTGTAATCCCTCAGAAAAGGGGCAAGTGCCCTGGGAATGATTTGTATAAGGTATTATATAAAACTCATGGGCTTATCCTTTGGCCGGAGGCATCCATGCAGCATGCTTTCACTTAAGAAGTAATAGCGCCTGAAGAGACATAGCTGCAATATGTAAGGCTGTGAGTTTAAACAGCTTGAAACAGGGTAGGAGGGAGCAAAGCTGCAAACTTCTGGCACTGCTGCCCTATGTTTGTTATATAAAGTGACAGTAGAATAAGGGAGTGAGGAACCAGCAATAAGTAGCAAAACAAAATTCATTGTATTCTTAAAGCTATACTTGTTACCCTCTGTGTGCTTTGGCCATGCTGCTGTCTGCCTCATTTTAAAATAAGTGAAGTGAGAATAACTTCAAAGTGGAATGATACCCACTAGAGGTGGGGAGAGGCTTCCATACCGGGGAAATCAGCATATCCATATGGTGTCTAGCTGAAGGATGCTCTAACTTAAGGGTGATCATGTAGGGGAGAAAGTTTTGCTGCACTCAGATGTTTTCAGTATTACAGCAGTTGTTTCTCAGTGTCCGTTTTTATGCAGAAATACTGAGGTTTTTATTTTCACAAGGTAAGCAAGCTATTCTGTTCTTGTGCTCAGAACTTACTGGGGAAGCCCTGGATGTAAATTAGATTAAAAAAAACAATAGGGAATCATGAGAGAAAAGGTGATGACGGGCAAAGTGATATTGCCCCTTCAGGATGTTGTCAAACTCCTGTCAAAACTGCTGGTGAGGGACAGTTGCGATGAATGGACTCTTCTCTGTAGGTGTCATATTTCATGTAGAGCTTTTTAACCATCTGCTTTTTGTCAGTTTTAGCAACAAGGGGTGCAGTTAGTGAGCTTTTGGTAGTACTGCTAAGATATTTTTTTGCATGTTAGTGTTGCCCATGTTTCGTGTGAATTGAGTCAACTGTTCAAGGAGTCAACTGGAAGGAGTTGTGCTTAAGTAGAAACAATAGAAAAGTATTCATATAGGACATCAGAAACGTCAGCTTTCTTATCTACTTTGCATTCTGACTTTTACCTGCTCCACCTAATTTTGATCAGGTAGTGATTTTATATGTGGGTGACTAAGGGGAGATTGAATTCTGCTCTGAAAGCCAGGTGCCTGGAATTCCATGCAATGATACTTGGAATTCCCTTGGAGCATTTTTCCTTAAATTAAGTAGAGCTTCTGCACTCATACTTTCAAATATTTAGCACTCTCTCAAGTAAAATTTGTAAATAAATATGGCTATATGTTTATTTCCAAACATAGTAAAAATGCTAGATTCTTCTAGTATATTTACAGTTTTATATTATTCTATATCGGAGACAATCCCGATCATGTACACATGCCAGGATCTTAATTTAAATGGGTGTATTTGAGAATCTTACATAATTTTGAATTAAAAAGGTAATTGAAATCATATGAAGTGTAGCATTAGAAGAAAGCTATATTGTGAGTTATATTTGTTTTTATATTGGTCAACCATTTACCTTCATATTTTTATTAGTAGGTCATTCTTGTGATACAGAGGTCTTAAATGCTTACCTGCTAGTGCAGCTGAAATAAGTCAGATGCCCTGATTTTGAACATTGAACATTTCTGTCTGTGCCTTGGTATTGTTGAGACTAACATATTCCAGCACTTTTTCTCTTCCTGAATGAAATTTCCATTTTTTTTTTTTTGTAGGTGATAGCTGCTGCAAAAAGGGGATTTAAAGCTGTTGGTTATGAATTAAATCCCTGGTTGGTCTGGTACTCCAGATACCGTGCCTGGAGGGATGGGGTGCATCAGAATGCCAAATTTTATATTTCAGACTTATGGAAGGTAGGTGGTGGAATGCATAAGAATGAATGAATTTGGGATGTCTGAGAAGACTTTCTTGTAATTTTGAAATAATTCTTCGAAACAGCTAGAGTGCTTTCATCCACCAGATGTTTCCTTGGGCTTCAAGTGCCCAAGTCCACAGCAACTGGACTCAACAGCATAATAGGCAGCTTTGCTGGTTTTATGCTTCCATGTGGCATGTGCTGTCCTTAGAGATGTCTCTGAATGATAAAGGCTGCTCCTTCAGCCTTTTGTCTAGTGGATAACGTGGATTGCTGTAATATCAGCTTCATTGAAAGCTAGTTAGTTGAAGTCTTAACAAGACTCTGTTCACCTAACATGAAAATTCATTGCCTTGTTTGGCACTTCATTAGGTGTGTGTTCTTTTGCAACTGTGAAACTCTTGATTTTTGAGCACTGCTTTAAGATCATGACTGCATATGTAACTGATTTTTTTGGCATGTTTGAACATTTGAATCAGAATTGCTCTTTTTTAGTTAGTTACTTATTTTTCTGCTGTGTTTATGCCTGCCTTTCCCCTGCTAGTCATATGGAAGTGTCTTTTTTGTTGTTTTTGCTTTATGACATTTTGTCATGGTCAAAGTGGATACAAGAAACTTGGTGGGGGAAGCATGAATGTACTGTTGTTCATTGTTCTGTACTGTTGTTCATTATCTTTGTTCAGAAGCAAACATGGAAAACCTCTGAGCAAAATAGGGAGAATCCAG